CATACAGATTGAATAAGTATGGAGAAAGGATGCAATCCTGGCTCATTTCCTTCTTGGTTTCAAACCATGCAGTATCCCCTTTTTCTGTTTAAACAACAGTCTTCTTGTCTATGTACAGGTTCCTCATGAGCACAATTAGGTGTTCTGGAATTCCCCCATTCTTCTCAGTGTTATCCACAATTTGTTATGACCCACACAATCAAATGCTTTTGCATAGTCAGTGAAACACAAGTAAACATCTTTCTGGTAGTCTTTGCTTTCAACCAAGATCCATCTGACATTAGCATTGATTCTCTTTGTTCCATGTCCTTTTGTAAAGCCAGCTTGCATTTCTGGAAGTTCTCCATCAATATAGTGCTGCAATGGTTTTTGAATTATCTTCAGCAAGGTTTTATTTGCATGTGATATTAATGATACCGTTTGATAATTTCCACATTCTGTGGGATCTCCTTTCTTTGGAATGTGTACAAATGTGGATCTCTTCCAGTCAGTTGGCCATGTAGCCGTCTTCCAGATTTCTTGGCATAGACGAATGAGTGCCTCCAGTGCAGCATCCGTTTGTTGAAGCATCTCACTGGGTATTCCATCAATTCCTGGAGCCTGGTTCTTCGCCAGTTTCTTCAATATATCTTCAACTACTTCCTTCAATACCATTGCTTCTTGATCTTATGCCATCTCCTGAAATGGGTGAATATCATCCAGTTCTTTTTGTTACAGTGACTCTGTGTATTCCTTCCATCTTCTTTTTGTGTTTCCTGAATCATTCAATATTTTGCCCATAGAATCTTTCAGTATTGCAACTCAAGGCTTGAATTTTTTCTTCAGTTCTTTCGGCTTGAGAAATGCTGAGTATATTCTTCTCTTTGGGTTTTCTAACTCCAGGTCTTTGCACATTTCATTATAATAACTGACTTTGCCTTCTTGAGCTGCCCTTTGAAATCTTCTTTTCAGCTCTTTTATCTTGTCATTTCTTCCATTTGCTTTAGCTACTCTCCATTCAAGGGCAAGTTTCACAGTCTCTTCTGACACCCATGTTGGTCTTTTCTTCCTTTCGTGTCTTTTTAATGATCTTTTGCTTTCTTCATAGATGCTGTTCTTGATGTCATCCCACAATTCCTCTGATTTTCTGTCATTGGTGTTCAATGCATCAAACCTGTTCTTTAGATGTTCTCTAAATTCAGGAAGGATATAATCAAGGTATTTTGACTCTTTGACTTGTTTTCATTTTCTTCAGCTTCAACTTGAACTTAAATATAAGCAGTTGATGGTCTGTTCCACAGTCAACTCCTGGCCTTGTTGTGGCTGAAGATGTAGCCAATTTGATACCTGTGTACTCCATTTAGGATATATACCTCATAATGGGATTGCTGGATCAAATGGTATATCTATTTCCAACTTCTTAAGAAAGCGCTGAACCCATTTGTGACAGTAGTTTTATCATTTTACAGTGCCACCAGCAGTGTATGAGAGTCCCAATCTCTCCACATACTTGACAGCATTTGTTATTTTCTGTCTTGTTGAACTTTGTTGTTATTGCTATGATGAGATGATACCTCATTGTTTGATTTGTGTCTCTTTAATGGTTAATGCAAAGGAGCTCTGGTGGTGCAATGCCTAGAGTTAGACTGCTAACCAGAAGAAAAGCAGTTCAAACCCACCAGCTGCTCCACACAAGGAAGATGGGGCAATCTACTTCTGTAAAGATTTACTGCCTCAGAAACCTGCTGAGGTTGCTGTGAGTCAGAATCAACTCAATGGCAGTGAGTTTGGTTTTTTGGTTTGAACGGCTAATGTAGGCATTTCTTCATGTGTTTGTTGGCTGCTTGAATATCTTCTTTGGTGAAGTGTCTGTTTATATCTTCTGCCCATTTTTTTAATTTGGATTGTCTTTTTGATGTTGAGATGTTGGAGTTACCCATAAATTTTAGAGATCAGTCCCTTGTGAGAGATGTGGTTGCTGAATATTTTTTTCCCATTCTGTACATTCTCTTTTTACTCTTTTAGAGAAGTATTTTGATATGCTTAAGAATTTGATTTTTATAAGGTTCCCATCATCTAGTTTTAGGACAGGGTAGTGTTACTATGAGTCGGAGCAGACTCAATGGCACCTAACAGCAGGAACAAGAAGTCATCTAGTTTATCTTCTTCTGTTTGCACATTTTTACTTATGTTTGGTAGTCTATAAATGCCATATATTAGGGCCCCTAAGTTTGCCCCTATTTTTTCTTTATACTTTCAGGTTTTACATATAAGTCTTTGTTCATCTTGAGTTAGTTTTTGTGTGTGGTGTGAGGTATGGATGTTTCATTTTTCTGCAAATGGATAACAAGTTTTGCCAGCACCATTTGTTAAAGACACTGTCTCTTACCCATTTAATGGATTTCGGCCCTTTGTCAAAGATGATGGATAATCTATTTAGATGGATGGATCTAATAGATGGATTGATCCATTTCTGGGTTCTTAATTCTGTTGTACTGGTCTGTCTGTCTGTCATTGTACCAGCACCAGGCTTTTTGACTACTGTGGCTGTAGGTTTTGAGATCTGAGAGTATGAGATCACCTACTTTGTTCTTCTTCAGTAGTGCTTTGCTTGTCTGAAGTCTCTTTCCTTTCCACATAAATTGTTAATTGTTGTTGTTAGGTGCCGTCAAGTTGATTCCAACTCACAGTGACCCTGTGTACAACAAAATTAAACACTGCCCTGTCCTGCACCATTTTCATAATCCTTGCTATACCTGAGCCAGTCATTGCAGCCACTGTGTCTGTCCATCTTGGTGAGGGTCTTCCCCTTTTTCTCTGACTCTTCACTTTACCAAGCATGATGCCCTTCTCCAGGGACTGGTCCCTTCTGACCACATGACCAAAGTAGTTGAGATGAAGTCTGGCCATTGTTGCTTCTAAGGAGTATTCCAAAATAGATTTGTTTGTTCTTCTGGCAGTCCATGGTATTTTCAGTATTTGGTACCACAATTGAACGAGATCAATTCTTCTTTGGTCTTTCTTATTCATTGTCTAGGTTTATATATATATATATACATATTTTTGTTGTTGTTGTTGTTGTTGTTGTTGTTATGTACCATCAAGTTGGACCTGACTCACAGTGACCCCTCCTTGGGTTTTCGAGGCAGTATCACTACGGAAGTAGATTGCCCAACCTTCCTTCCGAGGAGTGGCTGGTGGGTTTGAACCACCAGCCTTCTGGTTAGCAGCCAAGTGCCTTAGGCCTGTGCTACCAGAGCTCATACACACACACACACACACACACATACATACATATATATATATATATAGCAATTGAAAATATTGTGGCTTGGGTGGGTCTTCAAAGTGACATCTTTGCTCTTCAATACTTTAAAGAGATCTTTTGCAATAGATTTGCCCGTGCAATACAACATCTGATTTCTTGACTGCCGTGTCAATGATTGTTGATTGTGGATCTAGTATAAAATTAATAATTGGTTTTTCCATGTCCTTAAGGAATGTTGATGGATTGGGATTGCAGTGAATCTATAGATTGCTTTTGGTAGGATTGACATTTTCACAGTGTTCAGTCGCCTATTCATGAGCATGGTATGTTCTTCCATTTACGTAGATCTCTTATAGTTTCTTGTAGTAGTATCTTGTAGCTTTCTTTGTGTAGGTCTTTTGTGCCCCTGGTAGGATTTATTCCCAAGTATTTTATCTTTTTGGTAGCTATTGTGAATGGTATTGTTTTCTTTATTTCCTTTTCAGAGATCTATTTGTTGGTTTAGAGGAATCTAACAGATTTTTGTATGTTGACCTTGAATCCTGCCTCTATGCTAATCTTTCAGTTAGTTCCAGTGGTTTTCTTGCTGAGTCTCTGGTATTTTCTTTGTATCTGTACTAACATTTTTGTTGTTGTTAATTGCTGTTGAGTTGACTCTTACTTATATAAGAACAAAATGTTGCCTGGTTTTGCTGTTTCTCTAGGATCTTTGATAGATTTGGGCCCATTTTCAGGCTGTTGTATCAATCCATTCTCATTGAGGATTTTCCTCTAATCTTTTGCCATACGTAATGTCCACCTTTTCTGGTGACATGTCCAAAGTTAGCAAGATCAAGTCTTGCTATCCTTATTTCTAAGGAACATTCTGGTTATATTTCTTCTAGCTTCCAGTATTTAATTATTTGTGTACCTGTATGACAACCAGATTGTAAATTCTGCTTGGATGGGAGGGTGTGGTGATTAAGTTTGTGTGTCAACTTGGCTGGGCCTGGTTGAGTGGCTGGGCAGCTGAATGTAGTTATTTCCCCTGGTGAGATTGGTAATTAACTCCATGGTGGAATCTACTGTGAGCAGCTGAGTAGCTGCTTTAGGGCTGTGTTCTACTTCCTGTATATGAGGAGAATCCTTGGGGAATGGTCTCTAGCTTATAACATGCTTGAGCCCTGTATGTAGCCGTGTCGTGGTTCAGCAGCCTGCCATGCTATATCGACCATGGGACTTTCAATGGACTTGAATTAATGGCCTGCCGAAGGTTGGGTGATCTACTTCTGTAGTGATACAGAACCCAAAGAGGGTTCGCTATGAGTTGGATCCAACTCGATGGCAGTGGGTTTGGTTTTTTGGTGGTGTGGTTTGGTAACATTGGGACTGTGCCATTTTATTTGTTAGCCTCAGCAGCCAGTAGCTGCCCAAGGGAAGAGATGCCTCCAGCTTCAGTGGGCCAGGAGCAAGAGGCAGAGCTGATGCTCAAGGTTGAGGGGCTTTCACCCAGTCCCTAGAGCCTGGCACTTTGAACTTGGACTTCTAGCCTCCCGAACTGTAAGAAAATAAACTCCTATTTGTTAAGGCCATCCCATTTGTGGTATATTCCTGTCAAAGCAGCACTAGGTAATCAGAACAGGGGGTCATTTAGTAATCTTGTTTGTCAGGTTCTTCACATAATAAATATTTGAATGGACAGATGGTGGTGTTTTCTAAATACTATAGATTTCTCTGAAAAACACTTAAGTGAAATGCTCTGTTTCTTTTGTAGTTGCTGTCTTTGCTGGCCTTTATCTGTGAAGAAGTTGTGTCACAATGTACTATGTGTGGAGGACTTTACTTTTTTGAATTTGTAAGCTGCAGTGCCTTCCTTCTGAGTCTCCTTATACTGATTGTGTATTGTACTCCAGTTTATGACAGAGTGGATCCTGAAAAAGTAAAATCATCGGTAAGCATTTCAAAAATATAACCCCTATACTAAGCATAATTATTTTGTAATCTTTTGTAGTTTCATTGTTCAGAGTAGTCATGCTTTCAAAACTTAGCAACGTGAAAAGACATTGTCCATTATTCCAACTATTTGCCTTCAAGCAACTCAGTTTTCCCTGCCAAATGGATTGTAGAGGGGAATGGGAGAACAAACACTGCCAACAGTTTATGACAATTGGGGATTTAATATGATTCACACAAGATTTTTTTTTTTAAACTTTTTATGTGATTTGGGTGAAATTTTACAAAGCAGATTTGTTGTACATTCAGTAGTTCATAACACATTTTTTTTTTGTGACACTAATTACATTCCCTATATTGTAACAGCTTTCCTCCTACTTCCTCCCTGTGATTACCCTTTCCCTGTGTCCTACTTGCCTATACATTCTTACCTGCCAAGGTATATTTTAGAAATTGGCATTTTGTCACTTTTGATGGTTTCTCATGCTTTAGGAGTTAGTTCTGCAGTTCTTCATTGTGCACCTCTTTATGACAGGCATTTATGCTAGACAGAGTAATGCACTGATTGATATGAGGTACTTGTAGGGTTTTAAAACAAATCTGTATATAACTCTGCTTATATTTTGTTTTCATTTTATTATGAAAAAAATTGTCTATAAGTGAATTAAGATGGCATTTGTTGAATCCATTATTCAGAAATTTTCTAAATTAGTCTACTGATCCTGTGTTTTTATTTGCATGTATTTTGGATTTGTAAGATGACAGATAAAATAATTCACATATGTAAGAATTTAAGGAAAAGAAGAATTGAACAGTTTATTTCTTCAGTAGCATTTCAGTTGTCACGAATAATTTGTAAAGAGTTATACATGTGAAGGGTGACATGTGAAAGCACTCACATCTTAAGAGAAAACATGAAAATTAAGATGAAATTGTAGCTTATTAAGAAGAAGAGATAACAGTAAAGACAAAGTAGTAAGATGCTCTTTAAATCAATGAGAAGCAAGCACTAGGTCATGTGTAGATTATACACCTATGATAATTACTTTTTATTCTGTATATTGTTTTACTTGAATTTTGTGCTGTGAGGATCTATTACTTTTAAAAAGTCTATTTTATTGTTTTAAGTTATAAAATAAAGAAATAGGAAGTTGATACTAACAGTTAAATCAATCAACTTTGAAAAATGAGCAGTCTGAACACGTATACACAGTTCTTGGCATGGCCGGTATGTGACTCTTCCATGACTGATAATGCCAGTCGTTAGTACATATTGTATGCCAAGCACTTTACAGACTGTGATTTAGAGTCCTCACAACTTATTAGGTACTGCTGCTTTTTCTGTTGAGGAAAGTTAGGGTGGTTAAGTAGCTTGTCTAAAGTTATACTTCCAAAGTCGAAATCAACAGAGATTTGTACCCAGAAAAGGCCTAACTCTGCATTCTACTGTGTGGCCTAGGCAGAATCCAGTTAGAATAAATGGCCTAACACTTAAGATGTTGTCATAGCAATTAGTCTCACTACAGGAATCTGTGTATAACCAAAACAATAACAGAACCTATTTATTTTCTGAAATGCTTATTAAAGAAAGAATGCAGATAAGACCTTAGAATTTTTATTATGTTTATAATCTTTAAAAATTCTTACTTTTGACATGTAGGTGTGCCATAAGATTGAGACAGGGGCTACGTTCTCTAATATCTGAGCTTGTTCATGTGTAGTTTGAAATTTATATTTTAAACACTAAAGATTGGAACTTTTTTCTTTTTTTAATCTCTCAATAGTAAATGAACAATTATCACTACCCATAAAAGTAACTTTAGAAGTGTTCATTTCTCTTTTAATGCTGCTGCTGTAGTCTAAGAATACTGATCTTTATGTCTAGAAACAATATGGTAATATTGTCTAGTGTAATGGTGTGATCTGAACAAAATGTGAGACATTTATTACATCAAACTTGAGCATTTAAAAAGTTATTTTGTAGTAAATACTAATTTAAAAATACTGAAAAAATAATAAATGCCTCAGTTCTTTCACCTTAAAACAGCTGTTAAAAATATTTTGCTTTCTGTCAAGTCTTTTACTTGTATTCATAGGCGGTTTTTAAAACTTAAAAGTTATCATAGTGCACATATTTTATTTTCCCCTAACATCCTAAAGATTTTATATTTATTTGCTTGCACCATTTGAAAATCACTTTTACTGTCTGTATAGTAATATATTTAAACTTTAAATATTTTTTCATGTAGAAGAGGTTTTCTGTTTTAGAGATAACATTTTGAGTGCTTAGTGGTGGTAGTGGCGATGGGGTCTGTTTTGGTTACCTAATGCATCTCTAACAGAAATACCGCAAATGAGATAGCTTTAACAAACAGGAGTTTTTTTCTCTTAAAATTTTGGAGGCTAGAAGTCCAAGTTCAAAGTGCCAGGCTCTAGGGGCTGGGTGAGAGCCCCTGGACCTTGGGCTTGGGCTCTGCCTCCTGCTGCCAGCCCACTGAAGCTGGAGGCTTTTGTTTACTCAGGCAGCTGCTGGCTGCTGAGGCTGACAAACCCAGGGTCTACAAGTCAAAAGGCACAGTCCCGATATTACCAAACAACATGACAGGCCACTAATTCAAGTCCAGAAAAAGTCCCAAGATTGGCAGGGCATGGCAGGTTGCTGAACAACGACTCAGCTACATGCAGGGTTCAAGCATGCCATACGCTGGTGACCTTCCCCAAAGTTGCTTCTTATATACTGGAAGCAGTCCACATTCCTAAAGCTGCTACTCAGCTGCTCCAGTACATTCTACAATGGAGTTAATTACCAATCTCACCACGGGGAATAACTGTATCCAGCTGCCCAGCCACTCAACCAGGCCCAGCCAAGTTGACATACAACCTTAATTGCCACAGGGTCTAAGGAGGAACAATAATCTATGACAGTCTTTTCTATCCCATGCAATTGTAGGTCAGTTTCTAATAAGAGTAACAACAGCTAACATTCATGGGACTTCACATGTTATTTTGTTTAAATAATCCTCTTGAGTGCACTTGAAATATGGGTAGTTTTTTTTTTTTTTTTTTTTTCAATGTAGCAAATTTGAGATAATGTTCAAAGGAATAGAAGAATAGTGGAGAAGATACTGCAGAAAAACACTTTGTTTAGAAGCAAAGAGAACACCTCTTAATTTTTTTGTAAATGTTAAGTGAAGAATTGACAGTGTAAGAATTCTGTTTCAGGTAGTTTCATTGATACTGAGTTTAGTGGAGGTTACATTTCAGAAAACTCAGAAAGGATCAGACTTAAAACTCTGCAATGGCTATCACTTTACCAGTTTCCCCATCTGAATCAAATATGTATGTCAAGCACCATTTGCAGTTTGTGTAAGAGATCCTTATGAGGTGATAGGTGAGAGAGCACTTTGAAATCTATAAGTTCATTGTAAGTTACCTTATGATGAGATGTGGAAGCTTTGATGTAGTAGATAAGCTCATCGTACACACTCATTTTGGATAGGTTTCAAAGTGCTCTCTCATGCATCACCTCATAAGGCTTTGGATTACCCGAGTGGAGTGGTTGAAGGCTTAAGTGTCTAAAGAAAACATACACTGCTGGAATAATTGTATTTAATGATGGATGGTTCTTTTGGTTTCTCTTCCAGAGTGCTTTCAATGCACTGAAAAAGACCATATAGTATAAAATACTTTGAAAGGGAATAAAAAAATAACAATGTTTTCTTTTGCTAGAAGTAATAGGGAATTTTAATAAATTGCTTGGTTTTGATAAGGAGCACTAATGGCTGAGTGGTTAATGCATTTGACTGTCTGAACTCACCGGCCACTCCCACCAGTATTCCATGGAAGAGAGGAGACAGTCTGTTTCTGTAAAGATTTACAGCCCTGGCCCTGGCAACCCTATGGGGCAATTCTACTCTTTCCTTTAGGGTCACTGTGAGAATCTACTCAATGGCAGTGGGTTTGGGTTTGGTTTTTTGGATTTGATCATTTTAATATGTCTAGAGAGAGAGAAAGAAAAAAAAAAAAGAGCTATGATGGCATAGTGCCTAAGGCATTTGACTGCTAACTAGAAGGTTGGTGGTCCAAACCCACCAGACTGGGCAGTCTACTTCTGTAAAGATTTACAGCCTTGGAAACCCGAAGCGGGTTGCTGTGAGTTGGAATCGACTCAATGGCAGTGAGTTTGGTTTGGTTTGAGAGAGAAAATGGGCTGCCATATATACACATCTTGCGTGTGTATGCACACACACAGCCTTTATGGAGCTTTTACCTGTTTTTATTAAAAGGTTGTTTTGTGATTCCTTTCTGAATATGCCCAGTCCAGAGTTTGGATAATGTTCCATTATAGGTAATATACCAATTTTTTTACTGGAAATTTAGAAGTTGAAGTATGTATGTTTTGATTGTGTCAAGAAAAGAAAAAGCAAATCGCTGAACTTTTTTAAAAGTAAAAATTAAAACTTTTATTTCCATTAGTCTAACCATACTGTATTCCTTGTATGTTTTATATGTGTATAGGACTTTTATATTACTCTGGGAACGGGAGTTGTATTTTTGTTGGCATCCATTATTTTTACTACCACACATGACAAGACATCAGCTGAAATTGCTGCGGTTGTAAGTATCTTGTACTTTTTACCTTTGTTTATTTTTATTTCCCTAGAAATATAGGGATTTTAAAACATACTTAACAAGTTATACACTATAAGAGCATAGTTTGTCTTTTAACCTATTTTCTTTAATTTGCTTTTGACTACAGGACCTAAAAGCAAACAAATATGATAGCCTTAGAAATCTAGACCCTGTCTTTAGAATTTGATGAATTTTGTTAACAAAAATCCATTTACTCCATATGTTGTTGTTGTTGTTGTTGTTATGTGCCGTCGAGTTGGACCTGACTCATAGCGACCCCTTCTTGGGTTTCCATGGCAGTATCACTACGGAAGTAGATTGCCCCATCTTCTGGGGAGTGGTTGGTGGGTTTGAACCGCCAGCCTTCTGGTTAGCAGTCAAGTGCCTTATCCACTATACTATCAGAGCTCCATATATGAACATATTATTGCTAATGACTGTAGTAAAATTGACATCATTTTCTTGTATTCTTCCACCCTTCATCAAAATAAAAAAACAGCCCTACATGCCCAGTGTTGTTCTAGGTGTTGGGAATACACAGGAGAAATGATTAAAAGTTGCAGCCTAATAAAAGATATAGGTAAACAAATTGTAATATGTTAAATGAACTGATAGAAGTTGGTCTTCTATACAGAGAAGACTACAAAATACTACTTGAAGAAACTATAAGAGATCTAGATAAATAGAAGAACATACCATGCTCATGGATGGGAAGATTGAACATTGTGAAAATATCAGTACTATCCAAAGCAATCTATATATTCAATGTAATCCCGATCCACATTCTGTCAACATTCTTTAAGGACATGGAAAAACCAATCACTAATTTTATATGGAAAGAGCCTTCAGATAAGCAAAGCACTACTAAAGAAGAAGAACAAAGTAGGAAGTCTCATACTCCTCAATTTCCAAACCTAGTACACAGCCATAGTAATCAAAACAGCCTCGTACTGGTACAATGCCAAACACATAGAACAGTGGAACAGATTTGAGAACCCAGATCTATCCACCTATGATCAGCTGATCTTTGACAAATAACTGAAATCCATTCACTGGGAAGAGAGTATCTTTGACAAATGATACTGGCAAAACTGGTTATCCATTTGCAGAAAAAAGAAACGAGAGCCATATCTCAGACCATACACAAAAATGAACTTCAGATGGTTCAAAGACTTGAATGTGAAACTTAAAACTATAAAGTTCATCAAAGGAAAAACAGGGGCAAACTTAGGGGCCATAATTTATGGCATAAATCGACTATCAAGCGTAACCCAAAATGTATGAACAGCAGAAGATAAATTAGATGATTGGTACCTTCTAAAAATTAAATTCTTATGTGCATTAAAAGACTTATCCGAAAGAGAACCCACAGAATGGGAAAAAAATATTCGTCAATGACATATCTGACAAGGGACTTATTTCTAGAATTTATAGAAAATTCCCAGCAACTCAACATCAAAAAGACAAACAATCCAATTTAAAAATAGGTAGAAGACATGAACCAATGAAGATATTCAGGTGGCCAACAAACACGTGAAGAAATGTTTGCAATCATTGGTCATTACTAGAGAGATGCAAATCAAAACAATAATGAGATATCATCTCATCCCAGCATTAATAGCAAAGTTCAGTAAGACAGAAAATAACAAATGCTGGCAAGGATGTGGAGAGATGGGACTCTCATACACTGCTGGTGGGACCGTAAAATGATATAAGCACTATGGAAATTGGTATGGAGCTTCCTTAAACAGTTGGAAATAGAAACACTCTTTGATCCAGCAATCCTATTACTAGGTATATATCCTAAAGAAATGAGAACCAGGACTGAACAGATATATGCACATCCATGTTCATCACAGCACTATTCACAATAGCAAAGAGATGGAAACAACCTAAGTGTTTAGCAACAGAAGAATGGATAACTGAACTATGATACACACAATGGAATACTGTGCAACACTAAAGAATAATGTAGACTCTACAAAACACCACAGTCTGGATAAACTTGGAGAACATTGTGCTGAGTGAAATAAGTCAGTCACAGGAGGACAAATATTTTATTAGTCCACTATTATAAAAAGTCAGGGAAAGGTTTATATATGGAAGGAAACTTTCTTTGTTGGTTACCAGGGATGGGAGAGGAGGGGAAGGAAAATTGCTAGATTGGTAAGAGACAAGTATTGATTTGGGTAAAGGGAAAGGCAGTATATGAAAAGCAAGTGACCAGCACAGTAACACTAAGGAAGAAGGCACAGGTGTGCAGGTACAGACAACAAAGATAAACACTTTTACATATAAAATGCTGCATTATCAGTGATAACAAACATTAATAACAGGTAAATAGATGGGTAGACAGGCTGAATGATCAGGTATGTCTGGACAAAAGGGAATGTAGCCAAGGCCAAAACCATATACAAGGTCGGCAGGCGATATTTCTACATACATGTTGGTAAGTGCTGTAAGAATACAAATAACGGGGCAAAGTTATGATAACTTCTTAGCCACAGCCAACCACCTTGAGGGAACAAGTTGTTGGACCTGAGAGCTCGAGAGCATGGTTACAGGAGCTATCAAGCTTAATTGGCATGACGTACTACACAAAAACATTGTTCTACATCCTACTTTGGTAAGTATTGACTGGGGTCTTAAAAGCTTGCAAGTGGCCATCTAGATGGAACAGTTGGTCTCTCTTCATCTAGAGCAAAGAAGAATGAAGAAAACCAAAGATGCATGGAAACAGTTAGTCCAAGGGACTAGTGGACCATGTGATCCTTAGCCTATGTGACCATGAGACCAGAAGAGCTGGATGGTGCTCGGCTCCCACTGTCAACTGCTCAGAAAGGGATCAGTGCAGAAGAGCCTGGATAGAGTGGGAGAAAAACGTGGAACAAAATTCAGAATCATAAAAAAGACCAGGCTTATCCTGATAGATACTGGTGAAACCCTTGAGACTGTGGCCCCTAGTCATCATTCAGTTCTAGAATACAGCTCACTCCCATGGCTTCCAGCCTATCAGTAGACAGACATGTAAGGTTAATGTTTACACCAGGTAGGTGTACTCCTTAGAACAATCAATCATGGGAGATCAGAAGGGCAGTATTTGCACAGAGTGATAGCTCAGAGGGCAGGAATGCATAGAAAAGAAAGATACGGGGAGAAGGTAATCACAGGAAGGAAGTCGGAAGAGAGCTGTTACATTATGGGGATTGCAATCAATGTCATGAAACAAAATGTGAATGAACTGCTGTACAGAAAATGAATTTGCTCTGTAAACTTTCACCCAAATCACAGTTAAAAAAAAAAAAAAAGTTACGATTATGCAAAAAAAAAAGTTGATCTAGACAGCAGCCTTCAGTGGGTTATGCATATCCCTAAGCTTGTCCCAAGGAATACTGGGCAAAGGTGAAGGAGCCCTTGTGGCACAATGGGTAAACACTCAGCTCCTAACCTAAAGGTAGGCAGTTCAGACTCACCAGCCCTTCTGGGAAAAAAGACCTGGCAATCTGCTCTTGTAAAGATTACAGCTTAGGAAACCCTATGGGGCAGGTCTGCTGTGCCATAGGGTCACTGTAAATCAGATCAACTCTGTGGCATACAGCCTGCCAGGATAGTGTTTAAGGAAACCAGTTTCTAACTTTCTAATATCCATATGTAATCTCTCTTAAAACTGGTATGTCTAAGAATGCATCTCTGGTGGAAGAGTCTAGCCAGTTCTTTTCTACCTTCCTTTAAAAAATAAAAACAATTTTTTGCCTGTCCCAAATTTTACTTGCACGCATTGACATACGGTATTAAAAACAAAAAAAACCCTCAAAACCATCAGGTGTAACAAAGGGACAGTTCAAAAATAGGAGCTGTAGTTTTTTTCTAAACTCCTTGGGTCTAGATACTTTTTTGAATTCAGAATATTCTGGATTTCAGAAAAGCAATATTGTGTGTATACTGTACCACGTTATACCCTCAAAGGGCCTGGAGCAGCACTGTAATCCAACACGTTAGTATTCTGAAGTAATACATATGAATATTCATAGTAAAAGGGATGAGACTGTAAATAGCCTTACCTGGTGTTAATCTTGAACCAAATGAATCATAAAAAACTTTTGAGTTTTTACAGCTTTTTTAACAACTCAAACCAAAATGAAAGTCACTGCCATTGAGTTGATTCCTATTCATGGCGACCCCTATTGGGTTTCTGAAGCTGTAAATCTTTACAGAAGTAGATTGTCCTATCTTCCTTCCAGGGAGTAGCTGGTGGGTTTGAACTGCTAACCTGCCGGTTAGCAGGCAAATGCTTTATGTACTGTGCCACCAGAGCTCCTTTT